CTACAGATATGAGATGGACTTAGGAAATGTGGAAGATGAAATGTTTGAATTTGACGGTGCAACCTAACTGTAATTGGCAACGCAATCTGCTCCAAATGTTTCAACACAATCTCTTGCAAATTTCGAAGTAAATCCAACTAATTTCTCAAAATTTTGAGTTCTGTCGCAAAAATGTGTTCGAGTAAAAGGTGTGCAATATTTATTTCTTCATTCCGTGAAGTATTGTTGATTTAAATTGACCTCCTCGCCTTAAGTCCCTTTTTCACTGATTCAATGTTATACGAAGGTTTGGGGGTGAAAAACATGTGTAAACAGGTTCCGCATAAAATATTTTTACAACTAAAAGTAACTATGTAATTATATGGAATATGTATTAAAGAAGGGATGATCTCGTCTAATGTAAATCGCACCCGTGGTTGCAGCCACGTAGTAATGTCCGATACATTCCCTTCTCAATATTTAGAAACTCAGCGGAACATTCAATCGGTGGATTATGAATTGATATTCACTCAGAATAATTTTCGTCCTCTACTGTGATAAATTGTAACCACTTTTTTCATTCCGTTTTAACGTAATGCCCTTATATTCGCACTTAGATGATCTGAGACGCTGTTGAACCAAAGAAAAATTCGCGGAAGTTTGAATTAAAGTTAATGGATGCCATTCAATTACATTAACCTGCCAAAGTCTGAAAACCCGAAGGTGATTATCTTCTTAACCTTCTCCGCAACCTCTTTCGCACAGAGCACAATTTGCAGTTTGCTTATCACCAAAACATAATTATCAGACTAATTAATTGTAGCAGCTCAATTCATCCTTTCCTCGAAAAATGATGACGGAGAAAAAATCATGACTCGAACCTAAAATAGTCGAGAAAGCCGAGAATCATCATACAGTATCACTCATCAAGAGCGTGATGCGATTCATCGGAAAAAAGGAAAGTAGAATCTCTTATCTTCAGGGTCACTCCGACGTAAAAACCAAGTTTGATTCAGGTCAAAAATCATCATTATAATTAGAAAAAAGTCTACAAACAATTTAATCGTACGACGTAGCTGTTTTATTAATTAGATTTATCGGCTGCGGCAGCGATTAACTCATTATTAATTAGAGTTTATGATTTTATTATCGCTCGGAGCTTTCACCTACCCCACAGTCTAAGGATGCTTTTATCTTATCTCATTAGTTTTTAAACTGAAGAACACACGACGTGATCACAGATGTAACCTTTCCGAGGCGATTTGCGTAATTAATTTACAAGTATCACCGTCCTGAGGTTACAATTTTGTAAACATGCTTACAATTGAAGATTGAATCGCACTGCGTAGTTACCAGTCCGCCGCCGGTATCTATCTCTACTCTTTAATTGAATGAACTTTGGTAGTAAATGACGAAAGCAAGACCATCGGGTCTTTGCCTCGTCCCATAACCTTTCTACGAAACGTAGGAAAACTCAGCATTGGTTTGAGATGAGGCATACTAGAATCTGACCACGCAGTGTTCAAAGGTTATGAACATTTTGTGATCGTCAGTATTTATCAGATAATTTGATGACACAAGCGCACTGAATGACGTTTAAATGACGATTATTTTCGATTTATATGTATTAATTATTTTCCCGATCATTCGTTGAATAATCATTTTTCGCTAGGTGAAGAAAACACGAAAATACTGTCATTCTCGCCCATCAGTTTTTGTACATCAAGAAAAATGTGTTCAAGTCAGAACCTATGCAATGACCTATCATAAGTCATTACTGACACGGCTCGTATACTTTTTGGTTATTTTCGTACTCATCAACTCATTTTCCCTATTGAATGAACATGAGAAGAATAGTAGCTGATAAATGCCAAGAGCAATACATCTATAATTATTTTATTACTCATGTCAATTAAAGCCAAAAGTTGGAGAAAAATATTATACAATGGTTCCTGAGAATTTTAAAAATGAATGGCACAACATGCATGACCAGGAAGAATGGAAGAGAACAGGTTCATCTACCGAACAGCTAGAATGGACTTGGGCGTAAAATGTAACCTCAGAAAATATCCTACCATTTGCATTACTCTACCATTTGTCATCTCACATAATTACTTGTATTTTTAAAATATAAGGCAATTCTGTTTTGAATATAAAGTGAACTCGTTTGATTCGGTTTCTTTTTCGTGCGCGCGAATTGTAAAGAAGGTTGAATCACTTGTATAAACTAAACTCTACCATGAGTTCTTTATCCAAAGAGAGCGTTTTCCCCTCAAAGATCTCTTGAAGTCTTGAAGTCTTTGATGTTTTTAAGATATTTGCTCAAGGACTGCTCAATCAAAAAGAATGGGGTAGTACCATTCACCAAATTTAGTTCACTCAGCAAAGTAAAGGGAAAAAAAATTACAACCGCTAATTTTACTGCTACATTAAACATTTTCAGAAGACATAGTTCATACGTTAATGATAGACTAAAACCGTCCTTCGATTGAATGAGAAGAATCCCAAAGAGCGTATTTTTTTTTTTTTGTTTTTTCATTTTATCCACATCTATTTACGTTTGATTGTGTGGAATATTTAAGAATCTTAACCGCACCAGAGATTTACTCCGAATATCACCCAGCTGATAAAATGTTTTAAATTATAATTATGAAGCATGACAAGCATCTGAAAACATAATTGCAGTATGCAGATAGCATTTTTTCTTTTTCACTGCTGATATATTTATAATCAAATATAAGAAGCTTGCGAATATTCTATACCCAATCTTTCGTTTAGAATTAGAAAGAATATTCCGATAAATTTATCTCTACTCTATTTGACATGTAATTTTTGCATGACATAGTATAGTTTCCAAAAGTCAATTTACGGATTTTTTTGATCTTGTCTAAAAGTATATTCTCTCCTGCACGAAATCTAATATGTGCAAAGAATATGTAGCATGCTGAACAATTGAAAGTTTTCTTTTTATATAAACGCAAATAGAGGGGTGGATCATTAAACGTTTTCTTCGACTCAAGCACGTCCATTGTTTACCTTTTGGTAAACATCGCACGCACGAAAAGGAAAATCTGATGGTAACAGTTTTTTTTTTTTTTTTGCTTAGCGCCAATTTCAGTTGATAATATGATTTTTCTTTACAGCTTGTCCTTTGTTTGCCTCCTAGACGAAAGACCAAAACTACAATTCAAACTTGCGAAGTCTCCAATCGATGATTTCATAATTAGTAGGAAACCATTGGTCGTTTCTTACTGAAATTTTCACTGATTTTTCCTCCGATTAGACGAAAAAAATTAGTACGCTTTCGGACAGAAATTGCCAAGTCACAGTCTTGTAAACAAAAGACTCGTTTATGTATGATATCTCATTATTTTGCAACCTATGAACACAGTTACGTTATTCCATCGTCTGAGGAACGGCTACACCGAGAGAAAAAATAACCCAAATCCAGGAAGTTAAACACGAAGTTACCGAAGTTTACGGCTACTTTGGGATACTTGCTCGATTTTAAATTTGATGTAAACTGTACCGGAATCAACACAAAATTTTGGTGGATTCATCTTTCCCTTAATAAATCAGCCGGAAGTAACATGAGAACACACATATTTTTCTCAGTGTAATTTTTGGATGAAGAGCTGCAGTAGGAATAACACATCATCATCCTGTTCAAATGATCTCTAGAAGTACAAAAATAGCCTCTATTATCATGTAGACATTGTTGCCCGATTGTCCAGTCTTTTTTCCTCATCCGGTATTCACAGCTCAGAATGAGAGAGCGCCGGGTAAATAAAGTGCAACGGGTCGTATCACAGTCCGGTGTATCAGGGTCGCAATGATCGCAGAAGATTTCGGGGGGAAATAAGAGGTACCGGTGTTTACCTAAAAATGTGCTACCACCCCATTTTGTTGGACGAGATGGACATTTCCAATTAATTTTGGTAGTGCCGCGATAGTTGGGTTTGTCACCTCATTAAGTGGTACTACCTTAATTTTAAGCTCCATAACCAAGGTGGCGCTTAACCCCTACCTCTTTTTCTCCGTGATCTTTTCGAACTTCTGCAGCTCATTTGAACATAATGATTATGTTTTATTTGCATTGGGAAAAAAAAAAACACATTGGATCTAGAGTCCAGAGTCTTAAAAACATCGACAAGAAAAAATACTCTAGATTCAATCAGATTTAAGTTTAAATCAAGAACCAAGCCTCCTGATTTCAGCAAATTTCCTTTTGATTTAAGCTTAAATCTGATTGAATCAAAAGTCCTTTTTCTTGTCAATGTTTTCAAGTGTCTGGACTCTAGATCCAATGTGTTTTTTTTTTCAGTGTGTGCTAGGGAAATAATTTAGCTGCACTGAACAAAAAAGTAGCTTGGATCAAGCATGATAATTCTTGAATTTGCCGCCAAGAATTTTCTTTACCTTGCTCTAAGCTGACTTTTTCTTGATTCAAGAAAAATAATGCTTGGGTTAAGCAAAAAAGTAGCTTATATTAACCAGCAAAATTATTGATTTAAGAAGAAACCCTAGTGGAAGTGAACCTCATGCGGCGGGAGGTCTGCAGGTGGTTAACCACCCGCGGCGGGGACTAACCTCCTGCAACCTCGTGCGAACCTCAAGCAACCCCCCGTCGCATGGGGTAGACACCCGGTTCCAGGAAAAAACCGAGTAACCTCCCGCGAACCTCCTGCGAACCTCCTGCAGACCTCTCGCAAGCCTTAGTGAACTGCATGGGGTTGCAGGCCCTTGCTTGAGGTGATTAAGGCTTGCGAGAGGTCTGCAGGAGGTTCGCAGGAGGTTCGCGGGAGGTTACTCGGTTTTTTCCTGGAACCGGGTGTCTACCCCATGCGACGGGGGGTTGCTTGAGGTTCGCACGAGGTTGCAGGAGGTTAGTCCCCGTCGCGGGTGGTTAACCACCTGCAGACCTCCCGCCGCATGAGGTTCACTTCCACTAGGGAATACTTCTTGGCGGCAAATTTAAGATTCTTTTTTTTCCAGTGTGCCATAATTGAGCGATGTCTTACCTGGAGACCCGGCAAGCGCCGATCCAAATCCGGAGAACATCTGAGATCCGGGGTAGTGGCCAGGCCATGAGGGGTGCTGGTGGACGCCGGCGTAGGCCGCGGCGGCGACGGCCAGGGCGGAATTGTAGGGGGTCGGCCTGATGGGGGTCGTCGAGTGGGGCCCGAACATGAGCCTGGCCGCGGCCATGAGGTTGGCCGAGTTGGAGCCCGGCTGAAAGGAGTGGAGCCCCGCCGGCGAGGAGCCCCTGGAATTGTCCTCCGGCGAGTTGGCCGAGTTCCGCAGGGATTCGTCCCTCAGAGCTTCCACGTCGACTAAGCTACCCTCGTCCTCGTCTTCCAGGCCGGACTCCATGTCGATGTCCTCGCCGTCCTCCGCCTTGAGGTCCTCCTCCGACCCCATCGGCGAGAGCCGCGTTCTGGAGGGCGATTGCGGACCCTTCATATTGTCTAAGTATGATCTCGAGGGCGAGCGTGGCTCCTTCAAGTTATCTAGATACAAACGGGAGCGCAGGTCCTCGAGCCGTTCGTTTTCCGAGTCGAGTTTCTTCGGCCTCGTGTCGGCGAGAAGGGAGTCGACGCTGAAGCTGATGCCGGAGCGGGAGTTGGGGCTGCCGGAGCCGTTGTTGTTGAGGCCGCCCGACTTGCGGGAGCTGCGAAGGAGGTCCGAGTTGCGGAGGAGGTCCGAGTTCCGCAGTTCTTCCGCCTTGGGTTCCGGCTCGTCCATGTCTTTGGGTTTCATCGGCGGCTGGAAACTCTGGTTCAGACGTTGGTTTAGGTTTAACACGGTCATACTAACTGCTTCGGGCTTGGAGGGTGCTAGCATGTGGAATCGGGGAGCGATTTGGGGGCCACGGAAAATCTAGGAGCCATTGAACGAACTCGGTTGACGCCGATACGTCATGGTGGAAAGACCGGAAGGAAAGAAACTGCACTTCAGCACAAGAAACACGAAGGAAAAGTCAGGATTCCGAGGAGCAAATTTCAAACACTTAAGTAATCGCGCACTAGTAGAAGTGATGTCAAACTACCAATGGCATAAAGTATAGACCCAGTCTACTTTAGGAACACTGGAAATCCGGTTGGCAATCGAGTAAATTTCACAGAACTGCCCTCGACGGAAAACTGAGATCCGGGGATGATTTTCTGCCGCACTTGAAACCAAAACAAACTCTCAAGGAACGGATTGTATATGATTCCGAATACCCGCACACGTACGCGTTTAAAATCGAGTAAAGTTCAATTCTCAAAAAATGAGGGTATACTTAATTTTTTTATGAAACGGGGCGCCAAAACACGGAACACTGTGATAAGTTATCAATGTTGTTTTGAAAGGAACGAGTGGACGCGGCGCACGAGAGGAACGGCAGCGGGCTTTTACTGACTGATCGGAGTAGGGTGTCGCGATCAGCAAAGCGGCTCCCGGCTCCGCCCCCCNAGCCACGACGCTCCTGGAGGGAGGCCCGAGAGGGGGGATGGAGCTCCGTCTTTTTTACCGCCCCACCGAGCAGTTTTATTTAACTTTATAATATTCTGTCATAGTACCTTTTAATTTGACTTAATCCTCGCTGATACTTTTCGTCCCTCCGCGCGTTCCCATCCCCTTTTCTTCCCGCGCCCTCCTATTCACCCCCGTTAACCCTTGAGTGGGAGCTGTATTTATTCCGAAAGTGGTGCGCGTTTGAGTGGAGGATGACTTTCGGCGAGAATGGAGCTGTAGGATGGTGACCCGTCACCGTTATTGACAGTCGTTGAAACGCATCCTTGTTTTCTTTGAGTTGTTGGATTTTTCAAATTAGCATCTACTATTTTCTGTTTTTCGTCTCTTTCCTGGATTATGAATGGAGAAACAAGAGGGAATTCGAGCTGTCTGCCTAGGGTGGCATAAATCGTGAGAAAGAAACGAAAGATTGGAAATTCCACCGAAATATTTCATGAAATTTCACACGGCTGTAAAATATTTCATATTTTTCAGGGACCAGAGTATGCAACCCGCACTCAAACACACAAAAACTGAAGAAAGTCTCAGTTGTTATATTTTGCGGAACATGAAAAGGAACCGGTATTTTTCAATATATTTCATCAATTTCCAAAATTTCATGAAAAATTTCACGTGAGATTTCAAGATTTCATTTGTTTTGAAATTTTGCCTCCCCGGGCCTGCCAAATCCGTATATAGAGGACTCTTTCTGCTACTTACAGATTACTCACAATATTTTGTTACCAATGTAAAAAAGACTGCATACGTTCATTTATCAGTTGGTTACTTAAAGTGATTGATATTAGCTTATATTTTAAGATGCCAAAGTTAGAATTATTTGATCCAAAACAGTCTGCCATGCTGTCTTGTAGCCCCAGATATTTTGAAGGAGGAAATCAAAAGCTCCTTGAGTCCGTAAGAAGCATGACGCTGTCGTGAAGCAACATTGATATGCTGAGTATTATGACATCAAAGTTGAGAAGGTTCATTGAAATTTTAGGTCGGCGACTTCCATAACATACGTCATACATGCATATCTCCCTCGTACACACTGATCAAGAGTCGATAAGCGACGTGCGGTATGGATGTTTTCAATTTTGTTCAATGAATCTTCACACTCAAAGTCGCACTGTTTACAATTAGTTTCAATAGTGTTACACATTATGAATTAACACCTTGCATCAGTTTGCGTATAACGATAATTATTTCTTCTCAAAAACACACACCCAAAGAAAAGTGCAGTTGATGTAACATTCTGGATGTAAAAAATAGTGTGCGAGAACTTAAAAAATGATGAACTACCCGCTACATAGCAGTTACGTTAGCAATATACCAAGACGTAAAATTAACTTCTGAGGCGAGTGATTCCGCATTTTATAAGTTCTCGTAATTTTTTTTTACATCCAGGATTTTAAATCAACTTCATTTTTTTTCTCGGTTCAGTCCATGTAACAGCGAAACGTATAGTGACGGATCGCGTCTGTAGATCACTCAGAATCGCCTCAAAGGGACGTTTCGCGCGTCGAGGAAGGCAAACGACAAAAGATACCCTATTTTTTACTGATAGAAAAAGGGGGGGGGTATTTTCACAATAATTGTGAAAAAACCCCCCAAAATTGCCAATATTTTGCCCTATTTTTTACTGATAGAAAAGGGGGGGGGGTATTTTCACAATAATTGTGAAAATACCCCCCAATTGCCCTCAAAATTATTTTGAGGGCAATTAATTAACCAAAGCTGAAGCGTGCCCTGCAACAATAAATGTCTTATTTGCCGTAGGTTGAAGGCCAAGCTGAAACGGTACGCGTAAGAGCTAGCGAAATAAATACGATTAAACTATGGAATGGAAATTAATTAGTTACATAATTGGGCCCGTGAAAGCTCAGTCTCCGGCAGATAATCTGCTCAGAGTGCCTATCTTTTTGTTTAAGTTGACGTAAAATGAGGGAGAAGAAAAACCGAACCTCCTTCCGGCCTCGCGGTTTCAATGATAAAAGTCCATGCACCTCTGATTTGGAATTTTTTGCTCCCCCCCCGGTGGTCATTTTTTCGAGCGTCGGTCATTGATATGAAGACACGTAATTGGCGCACATTCTCATTCGCATCATTTTTCTCCGGAGCGGAACCGGGAAAATCTTTTTTCCTCTGCGCTAAGAACATGCGGTGAAACTCTATCTTGCATGATTAGAAGTCTCATTTTTTAACGTTATCATACTTGAAAATTCATTTGTCTCTGTAAAATCAAATTAAGCTACGACTTGCTCTTAGTGCAACACAGGGTACGAGTACTCGTATGGACAAGTTGTTACCGTAAGAAAAGGCTTGGAATTATATCCGTCTTTAAGGTTAAATGATATGCATTCAAGTCCTGTTTATTATTTGTCCTTTTTCTCAACTGCAAATATTTTGGACAGGCGTTAGGTGGTTAAATTGAAACAGCGTCATTTAAGAATAAAAATTTTTTGGCGGTAAAGAAGGGATATCGACAAGGGCCTTTATTGGACCCATCCTGAATTTTCTCAACTTTACGATATTTTGCTCCTAACTGTTGAGAAATGCATCATGATTAGGTCATTTTCATCTTTTCCGGTCTAATAATTGTCTGAATGTGGTTTTCTCGGCATTCGACCACAAACCCGCATTTATTGGTGAAATCAGACTTCTGGCCCATAGGTCAGTACTAGATCTAAAAAGAGACCCGAAACGACCAAATCATTATGCGTTTCGTAAAATATAAACCTTCAAAGAGCATACAATAGTTGAGTTGAGGTAACTCAAGGTTGGCCCAAAAACGGCCCTTATCCATCCTCTCTTCAAAGAGATTTTTTGTCTGTTTTCAGTAATATTTTCACACCGTTTCGAACTGGTTGCATCCGCTGAATGTAGTCATCACTGTGCGCATAACAAACGAAGATATATGCTAGCAAAATTTTGCAATGAAAAAAAATTAGCGAGCGATTCCGAAAGCATAGAAGCGCTAATTACCCATTTATGAAGCGGTATGCATTTACCGACAGGAATGACCGGGGAATGGTTACCCGTGTTAACATCCTCGCTCGTTATATTCGGCCGAATTTAAATCGCCGAAATTACACGGAGTTCCGGCCTCCAGTCCCGGACGCCGGTCGAAAAAGCACTCATGAATTATTGAGCGCATTCCTCGAGATCGTGATTAAAGTGAGTGGAATAATCAGAATAACAAATTCTGAAATGTTCCGCGAGTAATGTGTTAAATACATTGCCAGGAGTGATCTCTCCACGCTTGAGGCTGAGGTACGAGAACCGCTCTCAAGTGCTGCCTGCCCGAGCTTGCAAGTTTCTGACACCTTAAACTTCTGGTTGCATTAAATAGTCAACGGAGAACCAGGGTTTGGGGAATAGGAGGTTTGCATACATATTTTTTTTTTTTAATTTCTTGTATAGATGAGCTGTTGTTTGAAAGATTTCATTTTTACGTACAGTAAGAGCTTTGTTTATTTCCCTATGATCGATTGTGCCAAATTTTCCGCAAGAATCACCCCTCCTCTCCCGATTTTTAATGATTTTAACCCCCTCTTGTATTTACTCAAAGGGCCAATTCCATTCAGAGAGGAGAACCCTGTGTACAGTTGACTCCCTCTCAGATGCCTTATTGATGAAATGAATTCAGACTTGGAATTAACTGTGTGGTGCGAGTTCCTCGAAGCAAGTAACATGGGCATCGCTCGCCGTAAAAATGTGGTTCTTTTTTGGTGAACTTGATCCACATGGCCTGTAAAAAATCAATTTATTCGAATTATAATGACGAGGAAAGTAGTTTCAAGTCAAAATTATCAAGTCACTGCTTTGAGGATTTTTATCTCCTGCAAACCTTTTGCACTAAGCACTGAGAAATATGTATCTCTAGCCATCGAATATCATATCTGGAGCGACATCCACCAAATAGTGGTACGTAATATCGATCCACGACCAATATAATGCATTGAACGCTGAAGCGAGGTGAACATTCTTACCCTGCGCTGAATGATTTGATAATGCTTTTAGAGTTTTGAGCAATTTCCGCCAACTGTTCTATGGTAGTATAAGACTGTGCATCTTTATCTGCACTGGAAAAGAAACACGTTGGATCTAGAGTCCAGACTCTTAAAAACATCGACAAGAAAAAATACTCTTGATTTAATCAGATTTAAGCTTAAATCAAGAACCAAGCCTCTTACTTTGAGCGGATTTTCTTTTGATTTAAGCTCAAATCTGATTGAATCAAGAGTCCTTTTTCTTGTCAATGTTTTCAAGAGTCTGGACTCAAGATTCAATGTATTTTCTTTCTAGTGTCGTGAATCCTCAAAACAGGAACACAAGCGCGAGCGAAGCGTGTCGGTTATTCGAAACGACACTTGCACAATGAGCGACCGCATCTGAAAGTTTGAAAAAGTAACAAGGAATAATTCACGTTTTTCTTTCACAATGTACAACCTGAGCTAATGTTTGTTCTTTTCAAGCACCTCCGAACGGCAGAGCATGACGATCATCGAGCAGCGATCCATATGACAACAGCAACGTTCAGGCCGCGCGGCTCACGAGTCAATGTGACATCGGAGCTAATGTCCCCCTTTACAATCAATTAATATGAAAGCCTCACCGAGGATTTTCAAAGCACCTCGATCTATCAGCCCCAAAAAATCCCAAGCAACGGAGTTCCTCCCCCTCCGTCGGATCATTTCATTGCCATGTAAAGCAGGTCTCTCGTGAAGTTTATTTCCTTCCCATTAATAATCCTTTGAGCTGGGTGGCTCGAGTTCAAGCATCATCTGTTGGTGCGCGCCGAGTCAAAACGATGGAAACTACAAGACATGGGCGTCGCGTCCCGCCCGTACATCCGTCGTCACCGAGGAATCGCTACAAATGGTGGAAGC